CACACACACACACACACACACACACACACACACACACACACACACACACACACACACACACACACACACACACACACACACACACACACACACACACGCACAACCCCACACACTTCTGGACAAGGGTCTAATAATAGGACACGAACATATTTTAAACCCAGAGCAGTTTCTGTGAAGTTGCCTGCAGGCAGCAGTGAGGAGGGGATGAGTTGCGGCGTTAGTTGCGGCGTTAGTTGCGACACCTTGGGTTTTGTTGTGTCAGAGAGAGGCATTCATGCTCGCCCTCTGTGCCTTGCGCCCTCGCCCTCCTCACCTGCCCCCCCCCCGCTTCCTTGGTTGCGCCGTCGCCTCTGCACAGCACGAAGGAACCTGAGCCCCTCATCCCTCCAGCTCCCTCCTCGCCTCTCCAAAGTCACACCTTATCCACACCTTATCCACACTTCCGCCAGCACTCATGGCCGACGTTCCCAAACAGGAGCACGACCAGCAAGCGCCGTCAGCGTCGCGCTTTGGTGCAGAGGGTGCGCGCCCTCAGCCCAGCAATGGCGGCCGAGCCACAGACGTATGCCCTGATGGTTGGCTGAGCCCCGATGATCCTTTTCAGGGTTTGCTTGGGCTCAGCGATGACTTTGACTTCTTCGCCAGCCTCCTCTCTTCCTCCACCCCTCCAGCGCAGGAACCAGCTCAGGCACCAGCTCAGGCACCAGCTCAGGCTGCTCCACCATTCGTCGACATGCCTCAATCACGCCAACGGCCACCTCTTCAAGTATCCCAACAGCAGCCACCATACAACCAGCAACCACTTCAGCTTTCTCCCACTCTTCTACCATCACAGCAGCAGCAGCAGCAGCAGCAGCAGCAGCTTCCTGTCCCTCCATCGCAGCAGCAGCAGCAGCAGCAGCTTCCTCTCCCCTCATCGCAGCAGCAACAGCAGCTTCCTCTCCCTCTATCGCAGCAGCAACAGCAGCTTCCTCCCCCTCCTCCCCCTCCATCGCAGCAGCAACCGTTGGCGGCACCTCAGCCTCCGCCAGCACACGAATCGCTGCCGCCTCCCGCGCTGCACCAGTTCTGCACCAACCCGACCATATCATTGGAGGAGCACCGGCGCCGCCATGGCGGGCGTCGTCCCATGCCGTGCTTCTTCAAGGACCATGTGATCGCTCGGCGCACCATGCCTCCCGAGTTTACGACTGTCCCAGAGTGCTGGTCTGAGCAGTGGAGGAGGGAGCACAAGCGGCGTGGAAGCAGGGGCCGGCAAACCAGGCACAGGAGCAGTCAGAGAGAGAAGATGGCAGCCCTGGAAGCGGAGAACGCCGACCTGCGGGCAACTGTGGACCAGCTGCGTGCACAGTTGGCAGAATTTATGGGGACGCAGCAGCCAGTCTACGTGGCGCCTTTGCCTTGAATCTTTTGCAGGGACCTCCCTGGGAGTCAGGGGGAAACCAAGCCCCCCCTCTCCCTCTCTCCACACTGTCTTTGTCTCTGTCTCCCTCGCTTCTCCATCTGTCTGTCTGTCTGCCTGTCTGTCTGCCTGCCTGTCTGTCTGTCTGTCTCTCTCTCTCTCTCTCTCTCTCTCTCTCTCTCTCTCTCCTCTCTCT